AGTTGAAACTAAACTGATAATATAATAATTGAAAGTAACTGGGAGTCAAAGATGATCTGACGATATACTTACCGATGTTACACCCTATATTTTCGTACGTAAAAGTGCTTCGTGAGTAAACTAATGTAGGACCAAAAAAGAGATCATATTTGAAAGTATATAAAGTTTTATGTTTCCTCAGAGGTTTCAAATATTGTAGATCATGAACAACAAGTACAAAGAGGGTTGGAAGGTTCAGAAGCTGAAGGAATTGAAGAAAATAATGGTTTGTCGAAAGTCGACAAGTTGGGAATGTTATAGCTCGTAACTTTGGGATAAGATAGGGTTCTTAACATGATAAAAGGGTTATGTTATGATTTATTTTAGTTTTATAATAGTCATGTGTTAAGTTTTGAAGTTAAGCGAGTTGTGGAACAAAAGTTGATGAAAGTCATCACAAGTTACGTTCATAAGTTTTACTTAATTTTGTGTCACATGTAACTGCGATATTCTCCCAATATACTTAGATTTACGAGGTGTTCCACCCATAAAATTAAATATCTATGAGTCTATTTTCTAACGTATTAAACCGTTTGTTAATACGACATTGGAGTAGAGAGATATATGTATTTTTGCGAGACTACATAGACTGCTAGGTGACAAGTAGGTGTGTCACCTACTTGCTTAAATGAGAGTCCAAAAAGGGGCTATTTTGGGTCGGCCAAAAAGACCATTTAAGGGCTTATCTCCTACAATATAACAATCCTAGACCTAAACCTCTGCAAATATCCTTCCAAAAATTGCCCACAAAATCTAATTGATTTTCTCTCATTTTCAAGTTCTAGTTGGAGGTAAAACCTAGAGTTTGAAAAACCAAGTTAGGAGCTAAGTTATTCAACAAATAAGGTAAATTTATTGCTCTATTTCATCAATTTTTTATGTTGGATATGTATGTAAAGTCGTTCTATAATTGTAAGAACTCACGGGACGGTGATCGGAAGCCGTGAGTTCGAGTTATTCACTTGTAGTGAACTGTTTTATGTTGTTGTTGGATTGCGTGTTTTACTAATATTTTATGGAGTTTTGGAGGAGCAAAGTTGTGAAGAAACACCACTTAAATGCAGGGTGGTGGGTTGGTCGTTCGTCGTAACATTTTCGGGCTGTTTGACACTACTACGGTGGTCGTTTTACGTATGAAGAGATTGAGGTATGTTGGGTTATTTTGTATATTGTGTGGTGTATATAAGGTTGGAATATAATGTATATATATTGTTATTGTTGTGTTCTTGTGTTGTTGATGTTATCTTTAATTTGGAGGAAGTAAGAATTATCGGGGAGATGCTGCCCATTTTAATACAAAATAAGTTTGTCGTTCGTTGTGCGATAGTTGTACCTTTCATAATTTAATGATAGTATTATTATCGTTGTTGTAGATTAAGGTGCGAAGAGGCAAGTTCAAATTGGTGATTGTAAAGATTGTGATAAGGTACGTTAAGGCTAAAATTTTCCTTCATTTTCGCATGGACCCGTAACTACATGAGTTTGATAACGAGACATAAAGAGAAGTTCGTATTGCTGAACTTATGTACATTATCCTAGTCTCATAAGTTACAGTATTCTCCCTTATCGAGAATTTATATTTAGTTAAGTATTGTCTTCTTCTAGTAAAGAGAATAGAGGGTGTGTGTATATATATATACAGACACACACATACATATAGTACTACAGTATTTTTACCACCATCAAGCTATAATCGATGGGCAGGCCCCTATTGGGCAACCTCTGATCAGATGGTAAGTTATATACCGAGTCCATTATGGTCGAGCGCCTATGAGTGAGCCCAGAATGGTCGAGATACCTAGCCTAGTATGGTCGAGCGCCTATGAGAGAGCCTACTACGGTCGAGCAGTTACATGTACCGAGCCTTTTAGGGTCGGACATTTATTTTACTTACTATATTGAGAGAGTTGAGTCAGTATCAGCAGGTAAGTATATCTCCAGATCATCTTTGACTCTACGTTACTTTCAGTTATTATATTATCAGTTTAGTTTTAGCTTTCAGTTATTTTATTACCTTACATACTCGGTACATTATTTTGTATTGGCGTCCCTTTTCTGGGGACGCTGCATTTCATGCGTGCAGGTTCAGATAGACAAACGGGTAGACCTCCTCAGTAGGTGTTGCCCGAGTTCAGCTTGATCGGAAAATTCCATGTCCTTTGGAGTTGTCGGGTCTAGCATTTTGTGTATATATGTATATATATTATGGGTAGGTTAGGTCCCTGTTCCGATCACAATACATCCATCAGTAGAGGCTTGTAGATATATCTTGTTAGTTAGTGCAGTATGTTGGGCTTGTTGGCCTTGTATGTATATTTTTTTTGTTTGTCAGCTGTAGTAGTTATGACGACCTTGTCGGCCCAGCTTTATATTGATGTTTAGTAAAAGTTAGTTTCCGTTCAGATTTATATTTTGTTTCGCAAATTGTCTTGTAATGTGGCCCCATGGCCAAAGTATGATACTGCATGTTCAGAGTCCTCAATCGCAAGTTGGTACGCTAGGTTAAGTGAGGCACCGGGTGCCGGTCTCACTGCCCAGGTTCGGGGCGTGACAATCACTAGATAGGTCACTCATTGGGACAGTGAAGTAGCTTGGTTATCTCAGAAAGGAAATAACAGAAGAGCAACTGGAGCAGTATTGAGGTCTTATTTACAGCAGCAGTATATCACATCTGGGCAGAAAGAAACAACATGAGATTCCAACAAACCGGGCAAGAAAGCAGCACTACAATTTCACATTATAGGCAAAGGCGGATTTACTATGAAAAATGTGGTTCACGTGAACCCATGGTCCCTCGGCTAAAATACGTATATGATGTACATAATTTGCAAAAAAGTAGTTATATATATTTGCTGGCACCCATGGTCAAAAAGGGTGAAGTGGTGCATTGGTTTTGCCTTCTTATTCCTAAAAGCCTAAGGGCAAGGGATCGAATCCCTGCTTGGCTTTTGGTTATTTTATTTGTTTTTCTTAAATCTTTTTTTTTCTCTTTCTATTTATTTATTCTAACGCAACCTTTCATATATCCTATTAGATATATCAGTGCCCAACTTCTACACAGAGATGACAATCTACACGGTTCCCCAATTCCCAAATATCAAAATTATTCCCTAATTCCTAATCTCAATTTATCCCAAAAGCCAAAAGGTCACACGTTAAAAAGAAGAAGCAAAACCCTAGTTCCTATTTTGATTTGTTCTTATTTCTTGTTCTAAAAGCTAAAGCTAATCTTGACATCTTGTCTCCATTTACTCTATAACTGCTTGTGCAATGCTATTTTCCAATTCCTCCAAGGTAAGGTCCAATCTTTTTCTAAACTAGTTAATAAGTTTTCTTGTAGGTTTATTCCGATTTTGGAATTTTTTTTCCTGTAACTACTGAATGAAGGAGATTTTTTCTGATTTAGATTTATTTTGATAACTTTTCTTGAGCTAATCCTTTTTGATTGATAATTTGATATTGAATTACCAGCCCACTTCGATTGTAGTAACCGGAAATCAGACAGTTTAGCATTTGTCAAGGTGTTGATTAACATATTCGAACAAAAAGAAGTAAATGTAGATTCAAAAATTTGCCCATCGAGCAGAGTAGGAACCAAAACCTTTCCCGCTGCTGGTTCAGAATAACATGCATAGCATGAATAAACTAAGGACAAAGAACAAATGCCTTAGAATTGTAGTTTAAAATAGTCGACTCAGTAGATTGGACTGCTTGATTTGCATGACGTACTCACTGTCACCAAGAATTAACTGATGGAAGCCTTCTCTATAGGAACTTAACACAACAGTGGGCAAGCATTTCCATTTGATCTCAAAGATAAAATTATCAAAAGTTGCAGAAGAACTGGTAAGTTTTCATTTTATTTTAATTGAACTTGAAAGGGGTGTGATTCCTCTATTTTATTATGTTTGAAAGGGTGTGATTCCCTTTGTTTATTATGAATTTAAAAGTGTGATTCCCTTAGTTTTATTATGAATTTGAATTTTGATGATGGGAGATATTTGAATTTGTAGGAACATCAAAATGGATAAATTTGTGATCAGGTCAAACATTAGCCAATCAAGTTCCAATAGTAGTAGTCGGCCTTCTGTTAGTTCGAATATAGCTCCTGAAATCCAAAGAGGGGCAATCTTATCCCCTCCTTCAAATGTTGATAGTGTTCTTGAGCTAGGATCTCCCAATCCTGATCCCAAAGAAAGAATACTGATTCTTCAGTATGCCCCTAATATCCGAGATGAAGTAAGGAGACATTATATTCAAAAAGGGGCTTGTCAACCGAGTGGCCATGCATTCCCTAAAACTAAATTGGGAACAAAATGCGTCAATTTAATCCCGATTGGTTTAAGGGTCCATATTCTCAATGGTTGGAATATAGCATAAAAAGTGATGCTGCATTTTGTTTGTGTTGTTATTTATTTAAGAATGTACTTGAAAGTCGCGGTAATGCGGGAGATGCATTTACAAAAGATGGTTTTAAGGGTTGGAACAAGGGTACGGAAAGACTTAGAACGCATGTCGGGGAAGTAAGTAGTATCCATCACAAATGTTTTAATAGGATGCAAGATTTGATAAATCAAGAACAATCGATTCAATCTTCTTTTCACAAGCAAAGTGAGAAAGTAAAAAGTGATCATCGGATACGTTTAAATACCTCGGTTGATGTGGTAAGATTTCTCTTGAGAAATGGATTGTCATTTCGTGGTCATAATGAAAGTGAAGATTCCGAATACAAAGGTCTTTTTCTTGAACTTTTGGAATTTCATGGGGATAAGCATTTAGATGTGGGAAAGGTAATATTACATAAAGCTCCAAAAAATGATATAATGATTTGTCCAGCAATTCAAAAGGATATTGTGGATGCTTGTGCTAAAGAAACAATTAAAGCTATTATCTAAGATTTGGATGATGACTTTTTTGGGATATTGGTTGATGAATCAAAGGACATCTCACATAAAGAGCAAATGGACCTTGTTATACGATATGTTAACAAAAAAGGGGAGGTGATTGAGCGCTTTTTGGGTATGGTCCATGTGAATGATATATCTGCACTATCATTACAGAAAACAATTTATGATTTGCTTTTGGATCACTCGTTAAGCTCATCCAAGCTATGTGGACAAGGTTACGATGGAGCTAGTAATATGCAAGGAAGAATAAATGGCCTAAAGTCTTTGATTTTACAAGATGTTCCATCTGCCTATTGTGTTCATTGTTTTGCCCATCAGTTGCAATTAACACTTGTAGCTCTTTCTAAAAAGCATCCGGATGTGAATAATTTTTTTGATGTTGTCACTAACACATTGAATACTATTGGAGCATCTTTTAAACGCAGGGAAATACTTCGACAATACCAAGTAGAGAAGTTGGAAGAATTACTTAAGTCTGGAGAAATACTTACCGGCCAAGGATTGAATCAAGAACGTGGGCTCCAACGACCGGGTGATACCCGTTGGGGTTCGCATTTTAAGACCTTGGAAAAATTTTTGATTATATTTTCTTCGATTGTTAACGTGCTTAATGATATGCAACAAGATAGTCTTCTTTCTCTTGATAGATTTGCAGCAAAAAATCTTTTGGGTAATATTCAAGAATTTGAGTTTGTGTTTTTATTGCACTTGATATTCAAGATGTTGCTTTTTACAAATGAATTGAACAAAGCTTTACAAAAGAAAGATCAAGACATAGTCAATGCTATGAGGTTGCTTGACCTTGCAAAGATAAGATTGCAGACTATGAGAGAAAGTGAATTCGAGTTCTTAATGAATGAAGTTTACTCGTTCTGTGGTAAACATGATATTATGATCCCCAAAATGGATGAAGACTATCCAAGATCGAAACGAAAGAGGTCGGGAGTTTCATATTTACATCACTTTAGTGTGGAAATATTTTATGCAGCTATTGATTTGCAGCTTCATGAGTTAAATAGTCGTTTTGATGTAGTGACTAGTGACTTACTCCTTGGTATGGCTTATTTGAATCCGATTGATTCATTTGCTAATTATGACAAAGACAGAATAATGAAGTTGGCCGAGTATTATCCAAATGAGTTTGATGACAACAAGCTTCGAGATCTCAGCTTTCAGCTTGATAGTTTCATTGTCTATGCTCGAATGCCTCATAGCAAATTTATCAACTTGAAGGGAATGAAGGATCTTGCTATAGTGATGGCAGAGACGAAATTGGATCAAACTTGGTGTCATATTTATTTACTTGTGAAGTTGACTTTGATTCTACCTGTTGCTACTGCAAGCGTGGAAAGGGCATTCTCCTCAATGAAGCTCATAAAAAGTGATCTACGTAATAGCATTAGTGAAGAGTTTTTGAATGGTTGTTTAGTTTGCAATATAGAGCGTAAGGTATTTGCAACTGTAAGTAATGATGCTATTATTGATCTTTTTCAAAGTATGAAAACTCGTCGCGTACAATTGTAAATTGATAATATTTGTTTTTGTGATAATGTAACTAATTATTTTCTTGCTCGATAAGTTGTTGTGATTGTAAAATTTTATATTATCAAACTAAATATTAATCTTGAAAGTAATGGTGCACCCATCGTCCCGAATTTCTAGATCCGCCTCTGATTATAGGGCAACAACAGCACAAATGGCAACAAATATTAGAGAAACTAGACAGTTACCCTTGCTAAATATTCTAGCTTGGAGGCAGCGACTAGGACTAGACCCTTCCTGAAAGATGAGTAACACAATAGCTTGCTATGGAGCAATAGGAAGATAGTTGTTATCCCTTGGTTATTTTTGTATGACCCGACCCAAGGTGGTGTACATTTGATACTTTGGTTGATAAAATTTAATCTTTAACCAAAAAAAAAAAAAAAACATTTCACATCCTTTTTCTCCATTTTAATATGCTATATGAGGGGCCATATAAAACGAGTGAAAATTGAATTTCAAGAGTTTGCATTGGTTCAAGAATTTAATAAAGAACTAACTGACAGAAAAGATAAAAGCATTCATCTAAACATTGTTGGTTTCCAGATAGTTGAAAGGACCAATCGCATCGTTTTCATATGCCCATGGCATATGCTGCGGACAAAATTTCAACTTCGCAAAAATGAAAAATACAATGTTAAACCATAGATAAACAAATATTTCTCGAAACAACTCCATGTGTTTTTTGCTGGAAAAATTAAACGCATAATTAGAAAATTTCGAGATCTAAATATTTAACTTTTTCTAATATGAGAAAACAAAATGAGGAAATGTATTTTTTTTTTAAGAAGGCAACCATTCGGCATGTGGCTTATACTTCTAAAACAAACAAAAACAAAGAACAAAATTAGAAGAACGATATTGTCAAAGTAACTATATAAAAACCTCTTAGGACATTCGAAAGGGTAAAAAACGATAAAATAAGAAAAGCGAAAAAGTAAAGTTGGACAAAGGGAAAAAAAAAATAGACGTTTAAAAATAGACCATAGTCTATGATTAAAACAGCAAGATGGAGACAGACGTATAAAAAAGTTAATTTAATTGCTACTAGTTGTGTGTGCTTGGGGTTGGGGTGGAAATTGACCCAGAAATTAGAAAGTGATGACGATACGATGCTAAGTTTATTTAATCTTTTGGTTTCCAATCATCTTGTAATGTATAGTTAAAATCATCTACATAGTTAGGGTAAAAACTATTTCACACTATTAGGTTACATTTATATATTATAGTAACATATTTTATTTTTAAGATTAAAAATCTCACAATTTAAGAAAACTTTCCTACAGATACTTGGAAAAAAAAAACATTACTAACGGTGTATATAACTTAAACAAGAGTAAAAGTCTATTTAATTGTAAGTGGATATAGTTAATTCTTATCAAGTCATCCACTAATGCTTATCAAGGAGTTACTTATAGTAGACTTGATTCTGTAAATCTTAACTTCTCGATACATAAAACTTAACCTCATTGCAAAAAATAATACTCCTACTTATTTATCACTACTTACGTATTAAAAACAATATAACAGTAAGAAATTAGGATACTTATTTAGATGTTCACATCAAGTATCTTTTACTACAATGAGTGACATCATTGATTATATATACATCTAGAGAACAAGATAAAACTTTTAAAACAGTAGTAGTAATTTTTATATATTAATAAGAAAAAACACCATTAGAATTTACAAGGACAGTTAATAGTATAGTTTCTGGATATCCATTATAGGCAGTGGCGAAATTAGGAATTTTCCCAAGGGTATTCAAATTAGAAAGAAATGAAGAAAAAAAATCCCAACAAAGGGTGTTCAATATGTATTATATTCCTCTAAAACTTACTCCAATATTTTACATATATACACAGTGTAATTTTTCGACTGACCACTTTTGTGACCATGTGGCTTCCCCACGGATTATAGGAATGCGTAACCTTGCACATTCACAAGGTTATAAAACCAAAGGAACATGCCCAACAAAAAACAATCTCACAATTCACTAAATTTAGCAATGACTGATCAAAATAGTACTGGTTCTCCTGGAAGTTCCATGCATGGAGTCACTGGCAAAGAGCAAACGTTTGCCTTCTCCGTTAAATCCGATCCCAAAATCCCCATAGACACAACAGCAAAATTCGCTTTACCAGTTGATTCAGAACACAAAGCTAAAGTCTTCAAAATATTTTCTTTTGCAAAACCCCACATGACAACTTTCCACCTTTCTTGGACTTCATTTTTCACTTGTTTCATCTCCACTTTCGCTGCTGCTCCACTTGTCCCTATTATTCGTGACAACCTTAACCTTAAAAAAAGCGACATAGGCAATGCTGGAATTGCTTCTGTTTCTGGTAGCATTTTTTCTAGGCTTGTTATGGGTGCAGTTTGTGACCTGTTAGGTCCGCGTTACGGTTGTGCTTTTCTTATGATGCTAACAGCTCCGACTGTATTTTGCATGTCGTTTGTATCGTCAGCTGGTGGTTACGTTGTTGTTAGGTTTATGATTGGATTTTCTTTGGCTACGTTTGTTTCGTGCCAATTTTGGATGAGTACTATGTTTAATAGTAAAATTATTGGACTTGTTAATGGTACAGCAGCAGGGTGGGGAAATATGGGTGGTGGGGTGACTCAACTGCTTATGCCGTTACTTTATGAGTTAATCCGCCGTGCCGGAGCAACTCCGTTCACGGCGTGGCGGATTGCGTTTTTTGTTCCGGGATGGTTGCAGGTGATCATGGGTTTATTAGTTTTGGGATTAGGTCAAGATTTGCCTGATGGAAATCTTGGTATTTTACAAAAGAAAGGAGACGTTCCAAAAGACAAATTTTCAAAGGTTATATTAACTTCAATTTTACACCAAGAAAGGTGGAAATGATTAATTTTCTGACTGTTTCTTTTATGGGTGAATCTTTTTTTCTTACTGATCAGGTGCTTTGGTATGCTGTGACAAACTACAGAACATGGATTTTTGTACTTCTATATGGCATGTCACTGGGCGTGGAATTAACCACTGATAATGTGATTGCAGAATACTTCTTTGACAGGTTAGATTCTGTTAATTAAAATGATCATATCTTTCTTTCCCCCTTTACTACTCAACTCTCTAACGTAGTGTATATATATACAGTCAAACGAACTTTCTATATCAGTTTCGTTTGTTCCAATATTTTCGGGCTACTATAGTGAAGTATTGTTATAAAAAGCATAGTATATTATACATAACATGAAAAGTTGATTTTAGTGGCGAAGCCACATGGTCACAAGGGTGGTCAATTGACCATCCTTCCGTCGAAAAATTACACTGTGTATATAGGTAAAATATTACGTTTTAGAGGTATATAACACACATTGAACACCCTTTGTCAGGAATTTTTTTTCACTTCTTTCAAATTTAAATAACCTTGAGATCCGCCACTTGTTGATTCCAAAGAAAATTTAGCCATTATAATGAAGTGTTGTTATAGAGATGACTATTATAGAGATGTTTGGCTTTACATGTAAAATACAATTCGGACATTAAATTTGTGCATTAACAGTCAAGCGAATCCAAAATTTAAACTTAATGTGGGTTCTTAATCTTGTACTAAACTCATTTATTACATATTAAACTTATAGGTTTAATTAGATTTAACACTAATTGAGATTTTAGTAAATTTTCACATAGATATTTATATTCTGTGCCGATCGAAAGTTCTAGCTGAACTCATAGCGAAAAGGCTACATCAAACTCTGTCCACAATTAATAGATAGTTTATGTTGTGTTGTTAAGTTAGTCTTATAGTAATAAGTAACTTTTCATTATAAGACAGTACTCAGAAAAGCAGGATGATAAATTGATAATAGTGCACCAAATTTCATAATTTAAATCCATACAATAGATAACAAAACCAACGAAAACAAAATCACATAAATCGTATCACCTACTACTAATATTTATTTATTTTTTGCATTTTTGGTTTAATATTAAGGTTTAACCTTAAGCTTCGGACGGCCGGCACAATTGCTGCAACATTTGGCATGGCAAACTTAGTAGCTCGACCACTAGGAGGCCTAATGTCAGACATAGCAGCTAAGAGATTTGGAATGCGAGGCCGTCTTTGGAATCTATGGATACTCCAAACATTTGGAGGAACTTTCTGTATTCTTTTGGGCAAATCCAACAAACTTTCAATTTCAATATTATCAATGATACTTTTCTCAATTGGTGCACAAGCAGCTGCTGGTGCAACATTTGGTATTATTCCCTTTATTTCAAGACGTTCTCTTGGTATTATCTCTGGATTAACTGGAGCTGGAGGAAATTTCGGTTCTGGATTGACACAACTTTTGTTTTTCACTCACGCTAATTATTCAACTGCTACTGGATTGTCATTTATGGGGGTAATGATTGTGGTATGTACACTTCCTGTTACGTTAGTGCATTTTCCACAATGGGGAAGTATGTTTTTACCCCCTAGTAAAAATGTTGGGAAATTTAGTGAAGAGTATTATTATGGGTTGGAGTGGAATGAGGAGGAGAAGTTAAAAGGGTTGCATGAGGGAAGCTTGAAATTTGCGGAGAATAGCCGGTCGGAAAGAGGCCGGCGGGTGGTTTCTGTGACATCTCCGCCGGATGCTACACCACCTACTGTGTAAACTTTATACTACTATATGGTACCTGAAATGTTTTGCTCAATTTCTATTCCATGAGTTCTGCAATGAAACAAATATGAAAATGAATACTCCCTCCGTTTCAATTTAAATGAGATAGTTTAGTTCGGCACGGAGTTTAAGAAAAAAGACTTAAAAACTTAAGGGGTAAAAGTTTTGTGAAGCCATGGCATTTGTGTAATTATAAAAGCTTCTCATTAAGGGTAAAATGGATAATTAAGAGTTTAAAGTTGAATAATTTCCAAATTTAGAAATGTGTCATTTATTTTGGAACAGACTAAAAGGAAAAGTACCTCATCTAATTTGAAACGGAGGAAGTATATACGTAAATTGTGTTA